ACAGGATCCAATAAAATACATCTTCGAGAAACCTGCTCTCTTTGGGAGAATAACAAGATGGCAGATGATCCTGACAGAATATGACATACAATATACTACCCAGAAAGCAATAAAGGGCAGTGTACTAGCTGATCACCTTGCTCATCAAGATGTGGATGACTACCAGTCCATGAAGTTCGAATTCCCAGATGAAGACATCATGATGGTAAACAACTGTGAAGAATTCAAACCATATGACGGACTTAAACAAGGATCCCGATGGACCCTGGTTTTTGATGGGGCATCCAACGCACTCGGAAATGGTATTGGTGTTGTACTCATATCTCCTGAAGGATGTCATACTCCCTTTACGATAAAACTCTGCTTCAATTGTACAAATAACATGGCAGAATACGAAGCGTGCATTTTTGGTCTCAGAGCTGCCATAGATTTGGGGATCAAATCCTTAAATTTATTCGGAGATTCAACTTTGGTCATCAGCCAGATCAAAGGGGAATGGGATACCAAACACCCTAACCTTATCCCTTACAAAGAACATGTGTTGACATTGATCCCACATTTTGAGAATATTACCTTTGAGCATTTCCCGCGAGAAGAAAATCATCTAGCAGACACACTAGCCACAATGTCATCCATGTTTAATCTTAAATGGGATAACGAGGCTCCCCAGATCATCATTGAACAAATGGATGAACTAGTTCACTGTCACGAGATTAATACTGAAGAAATAGTGGACCAACCTTGGTTTCATGAAGTCAAGAGGTATCTCGAGGCTCAAGAATATCTGAAGGAGCTTCAGTCAATGATAAGAAGTTCTTAAGGATATTCTCCGTTAAGTTCTTCCTTAGTAATGGCGTTCTCTAAAAACGCAACCATGACTCTGTTTTGCTCTGTTGCATAGACAAGGTTGAGGCAGAAAAGATCATGGTTGATCTACATGAGGACACTTTTGGCACCCATTTCAGTGGGTATACGATGACAAAGAAAATCCTACGGGCAGGTTATTATTGGTCTACCATGGAAGCAGATTACTATCAACACTCTCAAACCTTCCACAAGTGTCAGATCTATGCTGACAAGATGCACGTACCTCCGGTTCCTCTGAATGTCTTGACGGCTCCTTGGCCTTTTTCTATGTGGGGTATCAATATGATTGGGGAAATCAACACTCCAATCGAAGCTTTGCATGAAGGTAGCCCCTGCCCAATCGAATATTGCGTACAAAGTGTTTTTGAATTTGTGATTCAAGGTAAACCAGCAGGAGGCCAATGGCTTCTGAATTGAAGGAAATCTTTCAGAAGGCCATTGCCTTATGAATTGAAGGACAACTGTAGGAGGCCATTGCCTTGTGCCTGCTAGCATGATGGAAATCCTGGCTTTATGGTGTCAAAGGCAAACATGTAAGGGGTCAATGGTGAAATCGAAGGATGTATGCAGGAGGTAAATTGCATAATCGAAGAAAACCTTCAGAAGGCCATTGCCTTTTGAATCGAAGGAAATTTTCAGAAGGTTATTGCCTTCTAAATCGAAGGAAACTTTCATAAGATTATTGACTTTTTGAATCGAAGGAAGCTTGTATGAATACCATTTCCTTCTGAATCGAAGGAAGCTTTTCAGAAGGTCACTTCCTTCAGAATCGAAGGAAGCTTTCAGAAGGTCATTTCCTTCTCAATCAAAAGAAACTAGCAAAGGGTAACCAAGCCCAGTCAAAGCTTGTATGCAGGTAACCATTGCATTGTGAATCAAGAAAAAATGTAAGGCCAATGATGCAATCGAAGCTTGCATGCAGGAGGCCACTTTCTTTGTGGGCGCTAGCATGAAGGGAAGCCATTTGCTTGTGCAGACAGGCATGCAGGAGGCCCTTTCCTTGTACTTCATGTAGGAGGCCAATGCTTAAGGTGGATTTGAAGTAGACATGAAGGTGAATTCGAAGTAAGCTTGGAGGGAGTTATATGTCCAATCGAAGCTTGTCCAATCGAAATAGGTATGCAGACATCAAATGTCTAATCAAAACAGGCATGTAGGCATTAAATGTCCAATCGAAACAGGCATGCAGGCAAACATTTATCTAATTGAAACTTGTCAAATCGAACAAACATGCAGGCATCAAATGTCCAATCGAAGCATGCTTGAAGGAGACCAAAGTACAATCAAAGTCTTTGTGAATCGAAGTAACTTGTTTTTCTCTAATTTTGTCAAAAGGATTATTTTTATCTGCTATGCCCTTGTGCAAACTTGAGCTTTTGAAAATCTCTGTGAGAAAATGTCTTGAGAAAAGAGAGGGAAAATTTTGGGGTACAATAGATATCATAAAATTAGCCTACATTTTCTCTTCATCTTCAACCTCCAATCTATGCATACACACTAACATTCTATTGTAATAATCTTTTGTTGGAGTGCCATCTAGACGAGGTTTGATAACATCTAATCAGGTTCTTGTGTAGCCGATAATATTGGGTTAAGATTTGTAGGGATCTTCATCCAGAAAAATCGTGGGTTTGTCCTCCAAGATCATTGATTGATTTGAGGATTTTCGTGCAAGACATTCAAGAGAAGATTGCGGCCTAGTGAAAGCCCTTTGAAGATAAAGAATGCAAATGATCCTTTGGAGATAAATAATGCAAAAGAAGTAGCACGAGCACGGTGAATCGAATTGGATTCTTGTGTTTCAATAAGTAAAATTGATGGTGCGCGAAAGTTTTGAAGATAAAGGATGCAGAGGAGTAGCAAGATCTAAATAATCAATTGACATCTATTGTGTTCTTGATCTTGTTGAAGATCAAAATAAGAGAAGGGGTTGAATCAACATAAAACGGTTATGGTTTGTAGGGTTGTTCTTGAACACTTCTCTTGTAATCATACTTTTTGCAAAGTAAGAAAGTATCCTAATTCTACATTGAAATTGGGCGTAGACGTATCCACATGCGAGGACGAAAGGGGGAAACTGTGCAGGAAAATCCTTGTGTCTCTTTTCTTTTATTGCTTTACTTGCTTTAATTTTCATACATCAATTTGTGAAATAGCATTGAGTAATCTATCAACGCGTAGGAACTTTTCGAGACTGTTTTGGTTTTAAATTGTGTGTTAAGTTGCTTATAATCACTTTTGATTATAAGTTTTTTTTTATCAACACAACACAAAGGAAAATTCTGAAAGTTTGATTGCACACCAAGTATTTGAAAAATTATTTAGCTTGTTTAACTAAAAAAAATTGCAATGTTGTATCTCTTACTCTCATTTACTTTTTATATGCAATTTGTTGAATGTGTTGTTTGATCGATCGATTCATATAGAATTTCTCTTTGATTGTTAAAGTTTAAATTTTTTTGTTGATTAGCTTATAATCATTTTGATTGTAAGTGCTTTTTCATATCAACAAAGTTCAAAGAAAATTCTGAAAAATTGATTGGCGATGTTTGATAAAGTGTCGAGTTATATTTTTAATATGATTTCATTGGAAATAGAAAACCGTTGTGTTTGATATTAAACTATTAGTTGAGATATTATTATGTTGATTGATTTTTATCATTTTCTTAATTTCATATGGCTTGTGCATATCCGAGTTTCCAATAACTAGGTTCGTTTAGACTACTTTATTGATCTAGGTCAAAAACCTTCCGCTCAACATTGTTTTTCAAATAAGTTTTTAAGTAACCATTTCGAAAGGTGATTTTTTTATTTGGGGATCTATTCAACCCCCTCTGGATAAGTCGTCGTAGTCTAACACTATGTTCTCTTTGATATGATAAAACACTTGAAACTTGGATTGGAAACGAAAAATTGATTGAGAATGGTTGAAGTTTTGTGGTAGATTTTAGTTATGGGGAAAATGAAGAGGATGAAATAGTGGTAGGGGTGATCATGCAACAAACTAAAATAAGAATAATATTTTCAGATATGCATATCCGAAAAAACCACTGGATATTTAAATCCAACGTTTAAATAATAATAACGTGTAAACAGGGGGATTTTCGGAGATGCATTTCCGAAACACCTTAAAAATTGATTTAGAGTGCGTTCGGATATACATCTCTGAAGGACATTTTAAAGTTTTCAGAGGTTTACTTCATCCCTGTAAGAGTGCATTAAGAAATTCCCTTTATAAATGTTGGAATACAAATTTAGGTGAAACTGTTATGCCCCATCCGCAAGGTCCAAAAAGAAGGAACATGTAAACCTTCATCCCTGCCAAAGACACACAATCACGTCCTCCATCACATCTTTCACCGTTAAATCTAATCGAACGACAATATACAAAATGCGACGAATCGCACACAGTCGGTTTGAAATGCCCATACTATATAAAGACCAAATCACGCCATTTTAGGTGTACAATTCATTCTCACTCTCAATATTTTGCATTCAATCAGTAAATTAAACGTTAGAGTGCTAATCTTACAGGTCCACCATCTCTCTGTCGTGCAAGAAATTTGCTCCACCGCACAAAAGCTCTATTCCAACACTTCACCTTACATTTATTGTTCTCTAATGTAATAGTTACTAAATCCAAAACTACCTTGACTTTTATGGATTGAAAGTTACTCCTAAGACAACCATATGAAAAAAATCTTGGCCAGAAGAAAAATCTTCTGCCTATGATAGGATGATAGGATTGCGTAGCAGTTTAAATTTGACTTTGGAGTCTGCTGAATTTTCCAATCACTAGACTTGCTTAACCTATATTTCTTTGCAAATTCTTCTTTCCCACTTCCACCACATCCACCTAAAAATATCTTTCTTCTTTTCCCTCTCAAACAGTTGGTCTAGAAAATGTTTAAGTTTGTTCTGGAGGTAAAGTGCACCTCTGTGTTGTGAGTTTCAATACATTGTTTATTACTTTTGCTATAAAACAACCACCCCCAACATACACTACTGTTTGATTTATAAAACAAAAACACTAACTATACCTTATTCATGTTCCCTTTTGCCTCTACTTCATACCATATAGTATTATAGCTAGCAAAACTGCATGCATGGTACTTGAAAACATACAAACCGTGATGAACATTAGAATGATTATAATTTTCTATGCTTATCATATACTTATACATGTTCCACAAGTTTCTCTAGCATTTGAATCAATATCTCAGTCCATTTCCCTCGTAGATGATGGAAACACCTTAGTTTCCAAAGGTGGAACCTATGAACTTGGATTCTTCACCCCAGGAAATTCCAATAAACGATACCTTGGAATTTGGTACAAGAAAATTCCAATTCAAACAGTGGTTTGGGTTGCAAATAGGCTCAATCCAATCAATGATTCATCTGGAACATTAACCTTAAACAATGGCAACCTTGTTTTAACTCAGAATAATGAAACTGTTGTTTGGTCTACAACATCAAATTCTTACAATAAGCCAGAGAATCCAGTGGCACTTCTTTTAGATTCGGGTAATCTTGTGATACTAGATGAGAAAGAAGAAAACAAAGAACTGTACTTGTGGCAAAGTTTTGATTATCCAACAGACACTTTCTTACCAGAAATGAAGTTTGGTTTGGATTTTCGAACCGGTATAAATCGCCGTTTAACAGCTTGGAAGAGTCCTGATGATCCATCCCCTAGTGATTTTTCTTTTGGTATGGTTCCACATAACTATCCTGATGCATATATGATGAAGGGTGATAAGATATTCTACAGAAGTGGACCATGGAATGGTTTGCATTCAAGTGGTTCACCACAAGTTAAGCCAAATCCAATTTATGATTACAGGTTTGTTTACAATAAGGATGAACTTTACTATACTTACAGCCTCAAAAACTCGTCTGCAATAACGCGGTTAGTTTTGAATGCAACCGCGTATGTTCGTTATCGTTACATATGGATCGAATCAGCGAAAAGGTGGGAAATCTACACATCGGTGCCATTGGATTTATGCGATAGTTATAAACTTTGTGGAGCTTATTCAAGCTGTGTTATTTCTGATTCGCCCGTGTGTCAATGCATGGAAGGTTTTAAGCCCAAGTCTCTGCAAGCGTGGTATTCGATGGATTGGTCTAAGGGATGTGTCCGAAATAAGGCGTTACGTTGCGAGGACAATAAAAAAGATGGATTTGTGAAAATGAGTGGTGTGAAAGTGCCTGACACTACATATAGTTGGTTGGATCAAACACTTGGTTTGGAGGAATGTAGAGTTAAGTGTTTGGAGAATTGTTCTTGTATGGCTTATGCAAATTCTGATGTAAGAGGAGAAGGAAGTGGATGTGCTTTGTGGTTTGGTGATTTGATTGACATTAGACAGTTTGCAGCTGGAGGGCAAGACTTATATGTTAGAATGGATGCTTCAGAGTTAGGTATGAACTTAGCTTATGATATGTTATATTCATCTTTGAATAGTTTTGTTCCCTTTATGAATTTGTGATTTAAGTATAATCATGGTTTTCTGTTTGGTGAAATTCATTTAGGACATGTCAATGAGGGTCACAAGAAGAAAGGTGTGTTAGTGGCAGTAACAGTTTCTCTTGTCATGGCAATGCTTTCTGGTATACTTATGCTTGGTTGGTGTTATAGACATAAATCACAAAACAATGTAAAAGGTATGATTTCTATTCTCAAAAATAAATATGTGATAATGTGTTACAAACTTAGATACCAGATATGACACTGACACATTGACACTCTCCACACTTTGAGAATTTAGATTAGTTAAATAGAATCACGTGTGTTGGTGTCTGGCACAAACCGAACCAGCCCTCAATCTAAAATGATTTACTTTATTTTCTAGATAAGTCAGATTTCAGTATCAAAGGTCATCTAAAGAGTGGAATTCAAGTGGATGATGGAGATCTACCGGTCTTTAACTTGTCAACAATAGCAAAAGCCACTAACAACTTTACATTCAGCAACAAAATTGGAGAAGGTGGATTTGGACCTGTATATAGGGTAACTTGCATTAAGATCATAGTTACTATTCTGACATTAAAATTTGAGATCAAATAAAAAAAATGAAATTTCTTATCAAATGAAAATATTAAATTTCAGGGGATTCTAATAGATGGAGTGGAAATTGCTGTGAAAAGGCTTTCGAAAAACTCAGGCCAAGGATTGAATGAGTTTAAAAACGAAGTGAAATTGATAGCGAAACTTCAACACCGGAATCTTGTAAAGCTTCTTGGTTGTTGCCTTGATGAAGAAGAAATAATACTGGTTTATGAATACATGCCTAATAGTAGCTTGGACTCATTCATTTTTGGTATGGATCCAATAGATTTTCTATTTAGATTATTAAGTGTAGTTAAATGCTTCAGCACATATAATCACTTTTTTTCTTTTTATTTTACATGATGGAAATTTAGCAGATAAGCTGAAAAGTGAATTACTAAATTGGTCAAAGCGTTTCGACATTATATGTGGTATTGCAAGAGGACTTGTGTATCTTCATCAGGATTCGAGACTAAGAATTATACACAGAGATCTAAAAGCTAGTAATGTTTTACTAGATAAGGAATTGAATCCTAAAATTTCAGATTTTGGCATGGCTCGTATTTTTGGAGGAGATCAGAATGAAGAAAACACAAGGAGAATAGTCGGAACATAGTATGTGAACGAATTATTTATATCCGTATTAAACGCATTAGTTACAATCTAAGGACTTAATATTAAAATACGTTGTGCAGTGGTTACATGGCACCAGAATATGCTATTGGCGGTTTATTTTCAGTGAAATCAGATGTATTCAGCTTCGGTGTTTTGTTAATGGAAATTATATCAGGGAAAAGAAGTAGAGGATACTATAATCAAAACCAAAGCCATAATCTCATAAGCTATGTAAGTATGTGACTTTTTTTATTGCTAATTCACATGTATCATAAAAAGTGTGTCTTGTATTACAAGAAAATTTTAATTTTTTTCATTTTTTCAGGCATGGAAATTGTGGAAAGAAGGAAGACCAATAAAATTGATTGACAAGAGCATAGGAGAAACTTGTTTTATATCACAAATATTGCATTGTATTCATGTTAGTCTCTTGTGTGTTCAACAGAATCCAGAGGATAGGCCTATAATGTCATGTGTGATCCTAATGTTGGTAAGTGAGTTTGAATTGGCTGAACCTAAACAGCCAGGATTCTTTATGAAAGATTCAAGTGAAGCAGACTCCTCCACAAATAAACAGATGTTGAGTTCTACAAATGAAGTAACCATGACACTATTGGAAGCTAGATGATGGTTTTTGATCTCACATAAACCAAAATTAAAAAATTTAAGAGACAAATGGCATGTGATCCACAAATGAAGTTGTGAAGAAATACTTACAGAAAGATTCCTCAACAGACTATAAGAGACAATGCAAATGATTGGTAAGGAGAAGTTGAAGTCACTCCTCTCTCTTTGTTTTGGCACTCTTAGTGAGAGTTATAACTTAAGTCATGTCCTTAGTTTTCTTCTATCTTACTAGTATTTTTATTCTCTAAATGGATTGACTTTAAATTCAGATTTTGATTGTACTTCCATACTCTTAAATCAAAATTACATAGTATTCATTCATTTATTATCATATTGTTTTCTTTTGATTTGCTCATAAAATCACAACCCTAAATCTAGGAATGGACAATCGATCGGTTTGGGTCGAAATCGGATTAAAAACTTAAATCCGACGTAAACTGCAGTTTTATTGTGAAGGTTTGATTTTGACCGATAAAATTTTGATTTTTGACAGATTTAATTTAATCGATTTAACGGATAAATATGATAGATTTAGTCGGTTAATATTATTGAAATAAATCTATAAAAAATACTCATCTTTTATAAAATTCACAAATATTCATCTTTTAATTTTTTTATAAAAACTATCAAAATTTTAGAATAACTTAAAGAATTATTTTTTTATTATTGAAAAAAATGTTATTATCACGTTATAAAATTTCAAATATCATTTGAAATTAATTTGTTCATTATCATCCTTTAGTCTACAAATTAAATACATTCAAAATTTTATATTGTATATCTTGTATTTTTATGAGTATACCATGCCATCATTAAATTATAAAAATGATAATAATTTGATAATATTATGAATACTATTTTTATAATTTATAAAAATGATAATAATTTGATAATATTATGAATACTATTTTTATAATTTATAAAAATGATAATAATTTGATAATATTATGAATACTATTTTTATAATGCTTTGACTTTAAAGTAATAAACAATATATAGAATAAATCTTTGTTATATTCGGTCGAGTTCGATTTTCAACGGATCCAAAATAATTATCCGAGTCCAACCAAATCAATCTTATAATACCCAAATTAAGTAATTCGATGAACTCGACACCCGATCTGACCTAATCCTTTTACTCAAAAAAGATAATAAATAAATCGATTTAGATTGGACGATTCAAATTTATCCATCCCTACTTAAATTAGTACTTTTTAATCTGGCCATGCACACATGCTATACACACCTTTCTTTTATGTAATTTGGGCCATTCTAGTTAATGGGCTCAACCCATTTCTATTTGCAACCCTACATACCATCCACATCGCTTTTCTACTTTTCATTTTATTTTCTTTTAATTCAATCAAAAATCATTTTTTTAGTTAAATAAAAATTGATTAATTAATATTGTTTTAATTAGTTGATTTTCTTAATTATGTTTAAATTAACTTGATTATTTCATGGAATTAATTTTATCAGTTAATCTTGATAATAATTTTTTTAACCTAATTAATCGATTAAATTTATTTTAATGACTGATTTTGTTTATTGTTTATTAACCTAATTAGTTGATTGAAGTTATTTTAATGACTACTTTTATTTATTGTTTATTAACCTATTTAATTGATTGAAGTTGTTTCAATTGGTTAAATTTTGCTAATCGTTCTCGGTTAATTAATTAAAGTTATTTTAATTGGTTAATTTGATTAATCAGTTTAATTAAACTACTTGGCCTCCTAAATAAATTGTTTCAAAATAAAAACGCTTGATCCAATGTCAAGCTATTTTTCAGTAAAATTTAATCCAACGCAACACAAATGCTTGATCCAACGTCTATTACCTTTTTTCCGGTCAATTCAAGTAATGTCATCATTAAACACTTGATCCAACGTCAAATCGTCCTTTTAAAAATCTTTTTCATAATAAAAACCGGTTGAAAAACGAATGATTTTGATGTACTTATCCTTTTTGTTCCTTGAGTGCTTGAATTGCTAGTCGTACTTAGCTTGTGGTCTGATGCTTATCTTCTGTTCCAAAACACATTAATCAAACGTACTTGGGTTCATCTCACATTTTTATAATAAAATCCTTGGGATGAAAAACAAATGGTTAAGACATATTTATCCTCTCTTTTCCCGAGTACATGGATTGCTAGTCGTACTTAGCTTGTGGTTCAATACTTTGCTCCCTCATAAAATCAATTTCAACACATTTAAACTTTTTTTTTTCCTTTTGGCTTTTCCATTAAAAACCTTTTCATAAAGCAAAAGACGTTTTGTCCATTCCGCGACGATGAAAAGAACGGTTCCACATAAGAATATCAAACAATTTTTGCTTAAATATGAGGACATAAAGCTGTGTTGATCCGAATCATGTCATCCATTCTTGAAGCAACGCAAATGTTTAACTATCCCTGTTTTGGGCAGCAATGTATTCAGTTCGAATACGACTTGAGAATATTTTGCTAAAATTGACCAACCCACAAACATTTTCTAACCAGAAATACGTAGCCTTGAGTTCACCATCGCCACTTGGACATACGTAGGATCATGATTTTTAAATCTTGTCAGGCACAATAATAAAAAAAACTCCAAAAATGCATTTTTCTTTCTCCCCGAGTAACAATTAGAAGATTGCAACTAACATCAAGCTCTTTTTCATTTGCAAAACTAACTAAATGGGTTCCGTTAGGTACAACGAATATGAAGGGTACTAATATCTTCCCCTTACATAATCGACTCCCGAATCATAATTTGGTTGCGATGACCATTTGTCGTTGTTTGAGGGTTTTATCGACATTTCCCCTATCCTTTTGGAATAAATAAAGTTCAGTGGCGACTCTGTTGTATTTTGAGTGTGTGATACGCTCAGGTATTTTTTGTGCAGCTGTTGAACTCCAAAATTTACCCTCTTGATTATGGCTTATGTTTTGTCATACACATTCATGCATTTGATATGGGATTAAGGTGTTCTTGGCTTCATGGTCTTCTTCAAGCTATGAAAGGTGATTGTGTTGACAATTTATGAAATTAGGGTCCCATGCCCTAAACCTTTGAGCGTCTCAGGCTACAAGGGTTTCTCACACTTCAAGACATCTCATTTGTATTTTTAACTCATCAAATGTTTTAATATTACAAGTGTTGATTCTTGAATCACTGTTCTCCTATTTATCTCTTGAGATTAGGTTTTATTTCCTTATATTCCTCATAAGATCAGGGTATCATTTGAAGTTAACTTAGACAAGTGTTATTAGAGGATTTCGTCAAAACAAAAGGGCATGGAGATTTATCTTAATGATTCATTAATCAACAGTTCAAGAAACCTCATTGTTTGAGGTGAATTTTGGTACGAAGGATGATATTGTAATCAAGCACATCTTTTGTTTCCTTCATTTATTTGAGGTTTAATTGGTTCGAATCTGAGATTGAATTTTCGAACTCGAGAATTGAGTTGAACTTAGGTTCATTATCATTTTGAACTTGGATTATTTCAATTGAATTGAAGCGCTTAAATATTTTCAAGACTAGAAAGGTCGTGTGGATTTCTTGAAAGATACTTAAAGCCTAAGGGTTTTGTCAAACAAGTTCATTAAGGCACCATGCAAAATTTCAAATTTTATTCATGGTTTCAATTAACTTTCAAAGTTCTTTGAATTTGGGATTAAAAGAGGTTTTAACACAAAGCTTATTCAACCATATCATTCAAGTTACATTCATTGACCAAATTGGATTCAAGAGTTCTATTCAAAATTCAAGGTTTGACTCAAGTTTTTAAACCAGGTTATCATCACTCAATTCCATTCAAGTGTTTCCAAAAAATTTCTCCATTTAATTTCAATACAAGTTACACTCACCATTTACAAGCCCCATTCTCTTAATACATTTTTGTTTCTAAGTTACCTCAAGATTACAAGACAAGTTCTAGTTCTTACAAGGCAAACTCTGATGAAATTCCTAATCTAGCAAGTCTAATCCTATGGTTTCTAAGAGAGCTTTCTCTTTGCTTCTCTTTGTAAATTTCTCTCCAAACTTCAAGTTTCTCTCTAAAATTCATGCCATGGATTCCTCCTTGCTCCCTCATCACCATCATTTTTCTCAATCTCATGAAAAAACAAGAAAGAGACATGATTAGCAATTATAAAAAAGCAATTAAACATAAACAAGAATTTTCAAAAGGGTTTTCTCAATTCATCATGAGAGTTTATGAAGGAATAAGAATAAAGGGTGGTCTTCAAATAATGTTCATAAGCATTTCACAAGGCCTCATGCTTTGTTTTAACAAAGTTAGAATTTAAGAGTTAATCATGGGCATTTTCTTCTCCTATTGCAAATCACAAAAAGCCTTTATTTTTTAGTTCACAAAGGGAGGTATCAAAAGGGATAAGGTTTTTTGCAAATTCAGTAAAAGGCCAAAGTATCACAGGTCCAGCATACAATGTTTCAACGAGAAACATGATTGAAATTGCAAGTTCCATCCCAGCAACACCAAAGCCTCATAAACAATTTTGTTTCACACAATCAAAGGTACAAAGTTGAATCACGGGCCTAATTCTCTACTGTCAATCACAAACAGTTTGGTTCACAATAGAGAGTCTGAAAAAAACAATTTACTGCACAAGTTTTCACAAAAATAACATCACGGTTCAACAAGTAAAAGCAATACATAATTCATAAATCGCAACAGTCCATCCCAAACAAGCAAATCAGCCTTTCGCAAACAAATAACAAAAAAATAGATATCAAGAAGCCCAATACGAAAGCATTCACAAATGCCTGTTATCACAAATCAAGTCCCAACTAAACTCAGTTCCATCATAACGGAAAAACTAACAACTTCTAACAATCTTTAAAAACATATAACTAACTCTCATCTCACCACTCATTCCATAACAGAAAATCAGAAATTAGTGGCTCAGATTGATTCTCCCTTAACTACTGGTAACAAAATTATATAACAAGAAAACTCACCAGAATGATTTCATTCTTCATGGTCATAGAAGAA